TATTTTTATTATATTATGTGTATATAATTTTTTTTGATTTTAAAAATGTCCGCATAATTTTGGTCGTTGACTGTATTGACCTGACCGATAAGGAGGGAATCGAAATATTAAATATTCTGTTCATCTCTCAACAATTTTGTTTAAACTCCCTAACTAAATTCATTCAAAATATCTTATAGAAAACCAATTCTGAATATTTAAGGAATTATCCCGTGGAAATCCTTCAGAGTATTTTATTTAGCATGTCCACCTTTAAAGATTTACAGGAAATTTGTATAGAGGCAATCTGTTATGAACCGGAACTCATTTTTCCTCTCTGATAATTTTATCAATTATCCGCTCCTCTATTAGAAATTATTCTTAAGCGGAATGATCTTAATCTGATTGAGATTGAAATTTGGGAAAATTTAGTTAAATGGGGTGTCAAACAAATTTTAAGGCAACTTAATGATAATGTTAATGAATGGACTCAAAAAGATTTCGTCGAGTTGGAAAGATACATTCATAATCTTATCCCCTTCTTAGGTTTTACGAAATTTCTTCTGAAGATTATTTTAAAAAGGTAAAACCTTTTGAAAAGATTTTACCCAAGGAATTGCAGGAAGATATTATTCAGTACCATATGGTACCATAGCATGTACCAAAGTTTAAAACATTAACGTCAAGATTTGCAAAGAATGTGAGTGATGATATTGATTCTAAATTACTTGAACAAAGCCATTTTCTTACACTTGCAAATTGGATAGATGAAAAGCATGAAACTGCTGCTTACATCAAAAATATTTCATATAATTTTCAACTGATATATCGAACATGTAGTCCTGGCAGTTGTTCTATTAATGATCTCATGAAGAAAACTGGACCGGATAGTAATGATTCTTTTATTCTGATATGTGATCCAGGTGATCAAGGGAAGTTACATGGCTATCAGGTGATTTGAAGCAATATAATTATAGGTTAGGAGGATATATTTATGAAATGATTGGAGTGATTCAACTGGAACAAAGAATTTTCTGTTTCTATTAAAATCGATGATGATACCTATGAGCCCTAAATTTTTCAGAATAACAACAAAAATAGATTCTATCACTCATTTATAGAGGCATTTAAATTCTCTATGGTTTTAAAGAAGATGGTTCCAGAAAGTTCTTTTCATGGAAATATTTAAATTGGAAAGGATAGCTATTATGAAACAATTGAATTCTAACAATAATCCAGATCCAAAAAATAATATAAATAATAGGAGATCAAAAAAATTTGAGATATTTAGTAGTTTAAAGTCTAAGATTGGTTGATTGGTTGGTGAATATTTCTTATTTTATGTTTAAATTTTTTTTTTTTTTAGGATCAATTTTTTCTTGGATTCATTTTTTTATATTTACTATTTACATTATAATCATTGGATATAATTATATATTACTATTCCACCTATTCATTCATATTTTAATCTATCATTAATATTTATGATCAAAATAATTGTTTCAAATGTTCTATAAGAAAAGTTTTTGTATTTATTAAATCTTATATATTATATTATATATATATTAAATAAAAAGCTTTCCTTAAATAAGCTTGAAGGAATCATTTAAATTTTAGATAATGGAAGATAATCGAAGTTTAAAAATACAATAAGCTTATGAAGTTGGACAGATTTACGCTTAGAAAACTTTCCTTAAGCTTCAAAAATCACATTTTTTCATCTTGACGATGATTTCTAATTTATTGAAGTAAACAAATCAATTTACAAAGCTAATTTTTCTGATAAGATTCAAATCAAATCTTTAAATTGAAATAATTGATAATAAAAATTAGTACACAAAAGAATTGTTAGTGGTTCTGCTTTGGAATAATCAATCATAAAATTTAAAGGTCAAAGGAAAATCAATTGATATCAGAAAATATTTGACAGTATAACTGGCATGCAAAATAATTTCAGAGTTGATCAGTCGCATTCTTTTAAATGATTCTATTAAGATATAATTCTCAAATTGTAAGTTAGATATTTAAGTAATTAACTACTGTTAGCTTATTTAATAAAAGAAAATATTCACATAAAAAATAAATCAAAATTATTTTTATTTTTTTATTTAATTGGGATTTTGTCAAAAATTTGTTAAATAAAATATAATATATTTCAACAATAAATTTAGAATAACCTAACCTATAAAAAAATGAATGTTCAGAAAATATGTATAATATTGACTTGTTAAATCTTGTACATAAAATATTTATGATTTGCTCTGATTGATTAGATACACATGTCACTTTTTTTTTAAAAAAAAAATATATCTTATGAAAAAAGTATGTTTATCAAAGAGTCAAAGAATCACAGAATCAGAGTCAGAGCAACTAGACCGCAAATTTTCTTTTTTTATTTACAGGTAAATGAAATATACACATGTAGATGAAATGGATAGATAGAAAACTAATACAGTACGATTCACCAGACTGGTACAGTATGATATTGCAGATCAGTAATTTTTTGTGAAATTTTACATTGTATCATACTGTACTGGCAGTATATATAAAGCTTTATTATAGAATAAGTACAGTACAGTACGATTCAAATTTACTGATCTGCAAAATTATACTGTACCATACTTGTCCTATAATAACTACACTCTATTATAGGACAAGTACGATATAGTACGATTTTGCAAATTAGTAAATTTGAATCGTACTATACTATAATTATTCTATAATAATTACATCTTATTATAGGACTCGTACGGTATAATATGATGCTAAATTTTGTATTTATCATATAATAGTTTATTCTGCCATTAGTATGTATTTATTTTTTAAATTTATTTTTATTTATTACTTATTTTATAATATTAAAAAAAATCATTATATTGCATTTTACTAATTAAATGCCATATCCACTAAAATCTATTTTATTTTTATTTTTATTTTTATTTCATTCTTTTTATATTAAAAAATAAAAATAAAAATAAAATATAAATAAAAAATAAAAAAAAGTAAAAATAAAAATAAAAAAAAACAAAACAAAATAAAAAATAAAACTAAACGAAAAATAATAAAAAAAATAAAAAATAAAAAGTCCGATAAAAGTGGAATAAAAATAAGAAGTAGAATAAAAAATAATAAAGTCCAGTGAAATGGGAATAAAAGAAAATAAAAAATCTGATAGAAGGGAAATAAAAATAATAAAAAAGAAAATAAAAATAAGGAAAAATAAAAAAAAAAGATTAAAAAATATAAAAATATAAAAAATAAAAAATAAAAAGACCAAAGGGAATTTTTAAAAAAAAATCAAAAAAAATTAATAATAAAATATAAAACAAAGAAAAAAAAGAAAAAAATCAATTAAAAAATAATTCAATAAAAAAATACTAGGAATTAAAAAAAAATAATTATTAGATAAAAAAAATAAATAAATAACAAATCTAGGGAAAATAAAAAAAAGAAAAATATAAAAATGTAAAGTTCTAATTTGTTGTGACGAAATTTGAACATAAATATCTTATCATTCACTAATCTAATTTCTATTAAATTTAATATGCAGATTCGATAATTCAGCTCTTTCAAACAAGATTAAAAACATCCAAATTCAATCATTCAATCTAGAGATATTTGAGAAAATCTGTAAGTAATTATTTTGAAATTTATTATGAAAGAATTTCAAGCAAGTGTAAATACTGGAACTAAAGTAAAAGAAATGTTAATATTAACATATATTATACTGCTCTTCTTTAAGTATTAAATCACTAAAATAACTTATTTAAATAAATAAAATTTCTTATATCAGTAACTCTTACTGACTCTTTTTCTAGAAAATTAAATAATTTGATAAAAATACAAAGTTTCAATTTGCTGTAATGAACTTTAAATATGAATATCTTGATATCAACTATACCAATTTCTATTAAACTTTAGCAAAACAGATTAAGATGGTTTTATACTTTCAAATAAGCCTAAATCAATTTATAATATATGATATACTATATTATGAATGCAAAATTTTATTCTTTTTTAAATGAGTGTTTAATAATAATAATTAAAAGATTATTATAGGATCCAGAAATCTTAATTATTTTTGATCAAAAAAAAATATAAAGGAAATTAGTTAATATTTTTTTATTTTATTTTATTTTTTTTTAAAAAAAAAAAAATCATCTGCTTACTTACCTTTTTATAAAATTCTTAGAATACAAATATTACTTTTTTTTAAAAAAAAATAATTAATTTAAAAATCAAAATTAAAATTAAAAAATAAATGAAATCTAAAATTTAAATTTAAATTTAAAAAATTAAATTTAGGATATAAGAAATAAATAAATTATTAAAAAATTATTCATATTTAATGATATTTCTTTTATTTAATTTTAACTTTAACT